GGATTTAAGAGATGGTATTATACAGTAACTAACCCAGTTTTGTTTGTTCCTACTGTGTTTAAACTGGCGGAAACGGATCCTATCGCCTGGATTTAGGAGCAGCTGCTGTTGCTTTTCCAAATATTGCAGGTGACTTTTATTTTTTCCAATCCAAACTTTTACCCGTTAAAATCAAAAAATGTTATATTTTACATATCAAGAGAGCTCGAGGTAACATTTTCCAAGAAAAAATTCAGGCGCCCATTACACTAGTAAGCAGCAAGCAGCTATTCCACCAAATTATCGGCCCATTACACTTAAACCATCTAGTGCTGCCAGCATTCACAGAGATCAAAGTGATGCCGGAAATGGGCTTCAATTACCTTTGTTACAGCTAAAAAGTAACTTTTACATTGGCTTTTTCGCTGGATTGACATTTTTCCACCAGCAGCCAATGAGGGCGCTTGATCTTACTACGCAAGAAAAAGATACCACATTAAAAATTAAATATACATATATTTGAAGATAATTAGCGTGTACTGAGTCAAATTTCGTTCGTGCAGGAGCTTAACTAATGCTTGTGTGTTATTGTTCTCCATTTGATTTTGGGATTTGTGACCTTTTCTAGATCTGGGGGCAAATTAAGTAACCAAAATCGTTTGCATGTTTGCGTTATTGGTGCAATTTTGTGATGCTACTTTAAAGAAAATAAAGAACTGTTAGCTTTAAGTTTAAACACGGACGTCAAACTGTTTTCAAGTGGGAAATTAAAAGTCATAGTATTCCCTTAGACCACCTGCCTTTATTAATATAACATTCAACGCAAGAAATGTTTACGGGGGGAGGGGGGAGGAGGAAGGAGGACGTAATTCCACATATAATGATTTTTCTTCCCAAGGTCAAATTAACCCTGTCGGTGGTGTTCGTGCATTTGAGTGCAATTCCCGTTGAAAGAATTGAGTGTTACACAAAAAGGATTCTCCTGAAGGTAGCCATGCAGTGTCAATAATTTCGAAATTGGCAGACTCTGATAATGAGTTGAAAGAGATGAAATTTTCGGCGCCGACGGAACAGTGCCGGGATCCATCTTTAGTCACTGTAGCTCCCTTAAAAATGTTTATCAGATTATATGAAAATAGTTCCGATCTCTCAATTCCCAGATATTTAAACGGTCTAGATGGATCTTCATTTGTTTTCGTGTTTCTCGATCCAGTGGTTTCATTCAAAAGCAGCCTAGATCACAGCATCCCTAAAATATTGTTCATTTGGCGTTGCATTCCCCCCCGTCTCCGTCCTCACCCCGCTGTTGTTTCACAAGCATCTTTTTTTCAGCACGTCAGCTTAGTTAAAAAAATCTGTTGGCTCACGACACACTTAACAGCAGCTGCGTGCTAGCTAATTTTAAAATCAAAGTAACTGGAAGATGAAGGCGACACCACGCAAGCTTTTCTTTCTTGTGCAGTTTCTCTTGCCTTACTTCAGTCGAACAGAATTCTGTTACGAATCACATGGCTCGATCCTGTATAACCTAGTTTTGATCGGCCACGCTTACAAATCCTTTTTAACCCGCGGGATTCTCAATTGCGGGCAAAGGTGTTTGGCGGATACCCGGTGTACATCGTATAACTATCAGACTTCAGCTATCAAAAATGGCGTATGTGAGCTGAATGAAAACCGCGTTGAGAGAAGGGAACTCTTTGAGGAGAAGCCAGGCTTTGCCTTTGTTCGCATGAGACGCAAAACGGTAGGTAGTGTGTTGGTTTTGCCGAGTCACTTGATGAGTATATTAGAATTTCATGTCTTGAATCGCCACTAACAAATCCTGCGAGTAAATGCCAAGGCAACAATATTTATTTTCTCGTTATTTTGTAAATTTTGATTGAGTTAGTTTCCCAGAAAAAAGACCAGGACCGAGAGTAAGGTGGCCTCGCATTCGGTGGCTGCGCCCAAAGTACGAAAACAAAACCGTACCCTCCTACAGAAACGACACGATCAAAGTGTTTTTCTCGTTGCGCATGCTAACAAAAATGAACACTATGTTTAAATTGTTGTGGCCTCTACTAATACTGAACTCGAGAATTCACGTTTTAATCTAACAGGTTATCAGTATTAGCATATTGTCACAGAGTTATTTTTGCCTTTTTATCTTTTATCGTAGTTTGGTTTATATTTTACATTTTTCAATTTGTTATTGTAATCGTACTTGGCGTCACTTGGCAGGCGGGCGATCCTTTTCAGCGACAAATTTGACGCTTAGAGGCACAAAATGTTTAACATTTTTCATTTGTTACCATCTGTCATGGCTTTTGACATTTCAAATCCATTTTCAGTTGAATATTCAATGCGGTCTCAAGTGACAGCTCTGGACCGGTTGTCATCCTTTCCTTGTCTGGGCAATTCTTCCGCACACATGCTGAATGCTGATCGGTTTATGCAAATCCCCTGTAGTTACTCTTACTTTCTTTTAATCGCCTCTCTTTGTCGATTTTGATTGTTTCTGAGCCATACATGGTGGTTTACTAACGTTGTGTAAAAATCATGAAGTCCAAGATGGCGGTCTCGCTCTCGGAGAAGTGTTTCACCCAAACTGTGCCCCTCGGAGGGGCACCAACATGGCGGCCGCACTAAGTAACACAAACATCTGTCATCGAAGTTTTGCTATTAAAACGAAAAGTTATTACTCTAGAGTTCGGACACATTAAAATTAATACTTCCTCTAGTACAAGAAATTTTCAGTTAGCAAATAGTTTAGCAAAGAGTCATCTCTTGACCAACGCGACAACCTTCTCGTTCGAACATTTTTCAATATGTCAATCGCGCAACGCGAAAGCTTGGAAATTCAATCGTGCTCTATAACAAAACGAAGAACCCTGTCTAGTTAAAACTTCAAGTACCAAGATGTTCTTATATCTGATGAAATTAAAACGTCAGAAGTATATCCAATTCCTTATTTCGGAATTGATGACGTCACATGGAAACCAGCAATTCCTTTTCTAACATTTTGTCATGATTTTACAGAAAACGAGAAGTTGTCTGGAGGCCTGGAAACAGGGAACTCGTGCATCAGGGCTCTACTTCATGCAAGGGAGATCGGAGTGTCTCTTGTACGAAATGTTCTGCGACTTCAGCTCGGAACCCGGCTGGGCCTGGACTCTAGTCATGTCCCAAAGCTTGGAGAGGAGAAGTGAACCTTTCGCAAAGGGTTCGTTTCCAGCGGGAGGATCTAAGAAACAGCGCAACCCGAACTGGGAGGGATACAGAATCGGAGGGAGTCGAATGAGGATTGTAAAAGCGCAGTCGAGCCACTGGCGAATCACTTGTGATTTTCCAACCTACGGAGTTGACCACAGGGACTATGTCCGAG